TTTTTTCTTTTTTTTTTTTATATTATTTAAGGAAAATTTTTGACAATGACGGCATATAATAGCTATTTCATTTCTCTGATTCAGTAAATTTTTATTTTTTATAAACTTAGTAATATATAGTTTCTCGTGTATGCACAAAGGACATGGGTCGTTTAATGATCTACATATTCTAGCTTTTCTTATTAACTTCCATTTTACTGTAGGTGTTTTATTTGATTCTTTTAGATGCTAGAAGTATTTTGAGAGAGATGTTTGATTTTTATATTTATTTATTCTAAATGAAGTTTGGTTGAATCTTTTTTTGAATTCATGGCTAGTGCAACCTATATATATTTTTATGTTTTCAGAACTTTCAATCGAAGAGATATTGCATTGGTATACTAATGATTCAGTGCAACATTTATTTTGTAGAGGGCAATTATGAGGGTTTCTACAGTTACATAGTTTTTGTTTTTTCCATCAGTTTTTATCTTTATTTTTCCATTGTCTAAATTTTTTTGGTTTTGGTATCAGTGTTTATTTAAGATATTAGCATTATGGTTCTTAATGATTTTTTTAAAGTTTTCTGTACAGCTATAACACAATTTTAGTGTGTTTTTATTGAAAATAGTACTTAGTTTACTTTCACTAGGAAAATGCTTGACTATTAATGCGAGGAATTTATATCCTAATTTGTTCTTTACCATTTGGTTGTATGGGGGGAGTATACCAAATAATTTTTCTACATCTGTTTTTTCTATGCTTTCCATTTTCATTTTTTATATAAGTTAGTTTTGGGTTTTTGTAGCCACTCTCTTTTAGAGCCTTATTATAGGAATTTATATGCTTATCGAAAATCTTGTCATTTGCTGAATTTGTACTAATTCGTTTACTGATAGATAATGGTATATGTTTAATTATAGATGGGGGGGTGATTTGATTTAGGGTGAATATATAAAGGATTGGTGTTGGGTTTTTTATAAGGTGTGTATGTATTTTTATTTAGATCTAATGTTATATCTAGGAAGTCCACTTTTTTAATTTAGTACTAACTGTAATTTTTAAGCCCATGCTTTTAAATTCTTTATATAATAACTTTCTAATTCTATCTATTTTGAAGTTTGTTGAGTTTCTAATAACCATAAGTCCATCGTCTCTGTACAAACCAATGTCATTTGTATTAATATCATAGTGCGCTGTAAGGTTGTATAATATAAAAAGACCAATGAGATCAGAAGACTCAGCTGAGTCTAGTGATCCCATTGTGATGTCAAATTGGTCGTAAGAATTCTTAATCCATTCCTCACCTTTATGTATAAGTACCGATTTTTTCGCATACAGAATAATGTTCCTTTCTTCATCTGTAATATCCGTATAGTGGGTGGCAAAGTCCAACGCATTGATAAATAGTTCTTTGGAAATTGATTGGTAATAATTATCAATATCAAATTGTATTAAAGTACAATTGTTTTTTCCTTTTAAGTGAGTAAACCAGTTTATCACTTCCTTGGTATTAATCCAAAGTTTCAGGCTAATTTTTTGCTTAATTTGTTTATTTACCCTTTCAAGGATCATTTTACTTATTTTCTGATCTCCGGTCTTGTGGGATTTTTTATCCTTGTAGTGGGATTAGCCTCAAAATCTGGCTTATGGTCCTTTAAGATTATGTAGCATTCTTTTTGATCTAGTTGACCTACCCTATCACTGATCATTAGTTTATCAGTGATTTCCTTACTGCTAGTATTGATATCCCAAACTATGTTGATGTCATTATTATTTGCTTTCTTGTAGTTCTTATTCAAGTCCTTATTTATTAGGTCGTTGTATTCCTTTATGGTTGTTTTATAAAAGTTTCCAGTTTTGTCGGATTTTACTAAAATTATATCTGTAGCATTTATATCCTTTACAATCTTATCCAGGCGTTTCTGGAAGTAGCTTTTCTTGTCATGGAAATTTATGTTGTTAATTATTTCCAGTAGGTCCTTTTCGAAAGCGGACAAACTATGAATAAATGGTGCTGCATTTTTACTGTTAAAACCGTAAGTTTCCTTGTAGTTTTTGTTTTTAGATTCATTCTTATTAAGGAAGAAGTAAGCTCTCCATCTCATCCTTCGTATGAGTTCCTCTGTTTTTTTCATTAATATCACGAAATATTCCTTTTTGTTGGTATTAGGAATGTTCTTCAGAGAAATTCCGAAATTTATTTTCTCCATATTTTCTTCTTGTTAAAAATAAAGATTTAGAGTGCTCGACTTTGATTAGGAGCAAATGTATGTATATAAATAAAAAGAAAGAACAGTAAGATATATAATCCGGTGTTCTTATAGATATTTTTATTTTTACAAAATAATGCTCAATGTAAATTACAGAGCATTAATATTATAAATTAATTGATTTAAAATATGTTTTTTTTTCCGCTACACAGTTCTAATCATGTTTCAAAAATGGAAGCTAAAAGCCACGAATTTAATTTTGCAATTAAATTAAAGACATTAGTTCCATTTCATCCTCAAGCTAATATATATATATATATATATATATATATATATATATATATATATATATATATATATATATATATATATATATATATATATACTATTTGATATATGGGCATGTGTCCAAATGGTTAGACTGTTCATTTTTCAACCATGAGACCCAGGTTCAAATCTCACCATGGTCAATTTGTCAGGAAGCTGACATCTTGATGTTATTGATCTGAAAAGGAGATCCTAGTAATTGAAACTATGAAATGGCTCTGGTTGACACAAGCCTTGCAAGTGAAATTGGGTAGACAGAACTGTTCAAAAAGCTTAATCACCATACCTTGTCTGTAATCTTTAATGAAACATTATCTCTCTGGGGAAGAGGTGTGAGTTTGTAAACAGTGACTATTATAGCTAATATAGCGAGACTCTTCACAAAAAGCGAATTGAGTCACTGTCACTGTGTGTTTCTAAAAATAAATACGCTAAAATTCACCTTCATCCCTGCCGTGCACTGATGGCTTAGTGGTAGAATCTCCGACTGACACCAATTCAGTCGGGTTTTGATCCTAGCTAGAGGCAACCAGATGTCTAGCCACACTGATGAGCTGTGAAACAGCGAAAGTCTGTCTGTGGATGACGTTATATATATATATATATATATATATATATATATACACACAGGTGACCCAAAATATATATATATATATATATATATATATATATATATATATATATATATATATATATATACAGGGTGACCCAAAAAACACAGAATTTTTTTAGTGCATATTACCAGACATGAGTAAGTGGCAACACTGCAAGGCAGTGACCTTGAGCAAGTAAACATTTTGCCATTTTAGTAACCATGTATCAGTGGAACGGACAACAGCGTGCGTTAGCCATAAAAATGTTTTATAAAAACAGAGATAGTTTGACAGCTGCACAGAGGGAGTTCCGACGTTTTTACAACTTAGGACATCATGGTGCTGTTCCATCAAAACACGCGATAAAATGTTGGATTAATAACTTTGAAGAGACTGGATCTGCCAGAGAATTCAAGATGAAATTCACAGTATCCCAGCTGAGATGTTGCAGCAGTCAATGAGGAATCTCAACAGCAGATTTCAAGAATGCATTCATAGAGGAGGACGCCATCTACAGGACGTAATTTTTAAAAAACAAAAATTCCATCATTGTTTCTTAAATGGCATGTTTTAAGATTTCAGTTACTATGAATAAAATATTTTTCTTCCATCACTCTTGGTTTTATTGGATTGTTAAAAAGTTCCCCCTTTTTTGGGTCACCCTGTATATATATATATATCCAAAGGTTGTGTTAGCATGAAGTCACAAGTCTTCATGACTGAGGGTTTGAGCATACTGGCCTTGTTCAGACTGTTGATCATGCAAGATAATGCACTCTTCCAGAAACTCCAACTAACATCCATTCAGCATAGTCACAGTATAAACCAAATGTGCCTGTGCCTGTGTCTGCAACATGGATTGGCTAGCCACCCTAGCAAGGAGTATGCTCTCAAAGGGAAAGTAGCCAATTATGCAAGGTTCACTCAGCATTATTACAGTGTAAGTCACAGGTGAGCTCTGTGGATGTTGAACAAACATAAATGAACCTGAGCAGGGTTTGGCTAGCCATCCTTGTAAGCAGGTGTGATCCAAAAATGTGAATAGTCGACAGTATCATGTGATATAAACATGTATTTCTCTAAAATGTTAACTTAATTGAACTATATTACTTATGTTAAAGTGTTTTTAGAGCAGATGATTATTTTAATAAGTAAAGAAATGTCTATCAAGATCTGATTCCGAATAGTAAAATAATCCTGTTGTTATACAGGAGATAAGCATCTTGTTTGCGAACAGTTTATAAATCTCTGATGATTGTTACAATAGTGCCTTCCATAAAAGAAAAAAAAAATGAAGTACAAAGAAAGCCTTCAATGACAAAACCTGCATTGTAAAAATGGTTCACAGATGCAATATCCCTGAAGAAGGGTTTAGAGAACAAAGCTGGCTGAAAGAAAACAACCGGAGAATTGTTTGCATGAGGCTGTCGATTTCATGCTTGAGTTTTTTTATTTCAATTTTCAGTGTGAAGCAGACGAGAAATTTAATGTGGATTCCATTGTTAAATTATTGTATCAACATAAGCATTACCAAGTTCCATCCCCTTTACTACCAATTGCTTTGATTACTAACCCTAAACATTTCTTTGTACCTCTTCCACTTTCACATGTCATTTTCCTACCACTTATCGTCAGTTCATTGTTGATGAATTTCTATATCATCAGGGAGGTACAGGTTTTGGTTGTTTTTGCTGCTACTGGTGGCATTTTAAGGGGATTTTTTGCATTTTATGGTAAAAAAACAAAAAAACAGATGACAAGAAAATAAACAGATGTAGTAGTAGTAGTATCAAGGAAAAGAGACAATGGAAAAAAATAGGACAGGAAATAGGAAATAAAAGCAACAAAAAAGAAAGAGAGAAAAATAATTCCCCCCACCCTCGCCTACCAGTGGTAGAAGAATAAAGATCAACAAAAAGAGAGAAGAGAACATGGAAATGAAAGAAAAAAGAATAAGAAATAAAGAAAGAGGGAATAAGAGGAAAAAGAGGAAAGCAAACAAGGAAAGAGAAAGGGTGACAAGCAAGGGAGGAGGAGGGAAAAAGAGGAGAAGACACAAATGATAGATATGAAGAGAAAGGAACAGGGAAGCAAGCGACAGATGTAGAGAGAGAGAAAGGGAAGCAGATGTGGAGAGAGAGAAAGAGAAAGGGAAGCAGACGTGGAGAGAGAGAAAGAGAAAGGGAAGCAGATGTGGAGAGAGAGAAAGAGAAAGAGAAAGGGAAGCAGATGTAGAGAGAGAAAGAGAAAGGGAAGCAGATGTGGAGAGAGAGAAAGAGAAAGGGAAGCAGATGTGGAAAGAGAGAAAGAGAAAGGGAAGCAGATGTGGAAAGAGAGAAAGAGAAAGGGAAGCAGATGTGGAAAGAGAGAAAGAGAAAGGGAAGCAAATGACAGATGCAAAGAGAGAGAGAAAGGGAAGCAAACAACAGATGTGGAAAAAGAGGGAAATAGAACAAACACCAGAGAAGGGAAGCAAAACTAAGTAGCCCATGAAAGAGAGAGTGTAGGAAGAAAAAGGAGTAAATGACAGAGAGGGTGATAGAGAGAAAAGAAATAACTTTCAGTTATTACTGCCATAGTCAACCTTGACAGGTCAAATCACATTCCAATAGAGGAAATAACACAAAATGCTTTTTCATGGAATTCTAAAATAAAAGACAATAAAAAAAACGATAAAATAAAAGACTACTAAATGCAAACAAGAAACTGATCCCAGGGCTTTCCTCTTTCATCCAATGGCAGGTGTATATTCTGAGGGACAAAGGCCCAAAGCAAAGATGAAAAAGACTTTCACACAAAGATCACCAACCAGGATTGGGACATCATTATTCAAGGGAGATAACTGCCAAAATAGTCATAAATACAGCTGATGTTTCTTAAAAAGAAAATCCACTAAAACTGCAAAAGCATCTACCATCTTTCCTCTGATCCACCACTGTCCCAGTTTGCACATGTATTGCCGAAGAGAAATTGGGTGCAGCTAGTGAGCAAGCAAGCAGGCTGCATCAAACATACACTGTTGCCAACTAACCTACTTTCTCTTACACATTTCTTTATTGCAGCTGCAATAATGCGGTCTATGTTACAATAAAACCCAAACTCCACATTACTATCATTGCACACAACCCAGGGTTGACTCATTACAAAAATTTGACAACTAAAGGAGAAAAAAAAAAATATATATATATATTTGTTCAATTATTTGACCTTCTAGTCAAGAAATCTCAGGACATCAAAAACATAGCTCAAGTGGTCAGGTAGTGGACCAAAGCTTAAAGGTCAATAAAAGTTGCATCATCAAATATTTTTCATTCTTTAAAATATCCAACAGGAGTCTATAAGTCAAAAATTTATGTCTCATGATTTTTCTATTTTAAATCTCCTTTTACGTGCCATAACCTTTTTTTTTTTAGATATGTGCATCAAGGCTCTCCACAACTTCCTATCCTTTGTCTCTCTAAGCCATGTTTATTCCCTTAATATCATTCCCAATCCCTGTTCTGGTATCCAATTACACAAGCTCATTAAGTAGGTTGATCATGGCTCTCCACAACTTCCTATTCTTTGTAGCTCTAAGCAATGTTTATTCCCTATCACTTGTAATCACTGTTCTGCCATACATATGCACAAGCTCAATAGGTTACTCACTGTTTCCCTCTGCCTTTCAATACATGCCATGTGTGTTAATTCTCTAAGCCTTCTTTCCTCATTATGTCTCTCAGAAATGATAGCTAATTCTTACTATTAGTGTGACAATTTCACTAATACTTACTCATTGCTGACATGCTCCATCCAGAGGGAAACGAGTGCAGAGACACATAGAGAGAGGGAAAGGAAAGCAAACAGCAGAGAGATGTGGAGAAAAGGAAAGGCAAGCAGACAACAGGGAGAAAAGGAAAGGCAAGTAAACAGCAGAAAGACGTGGAGAAAAGGAAAGGCAAGCAGACAACAGGGAGATGTGGAGAAAAAGAAAGGCAAGCAGACAACAGGGAGATGTGGAGAGAGGGAAAGGAAAGCAAACAGCAGAGAGATGTGGAGAAAAGGAAAGGCAAGCAAACAGCAGAGAGAAAAGGAAAGGCAAGCAAACAGCAGAGAGATGTGGAGAAAAGGAAAGGCAAGCAAACAACAGAGATGTGGAGAAAAGGAAAGGCAAGCAAACAACAGAGAGATGTGGAGAAAAGGAAAGGCAAGCAAACAACAGAGATGTGGAGAAAAGGAAAGGCAAGCAAACAACAGAGATGTGGAGAAAAGGAAAGGCAAGCAAACAGCAGAGAGATGTGGAGAGAGGGAAAGGAAAGCAAACAACAGGGAGATGTGGAGAAAAGGAAAGGCAAGCAAACAACAGAGAGATGTGGAGAAAAGGAAAGGCAAGCAAACAACAGAGAGATGTGGAGAAAAGGAAAGGCAAGCAAACAACAGAGATGTGGAGAAAAGGAAAGGCAAACAAACAACAGAGAGATGTGGAGAGAGGGAAAGGAAAGCAAACAACAGGGAGATGTGGAGAAAAGGAAAGGCAAGCAAACAACAAAGAGATGTGGAGAGAGAGAAAGGCCAGCAAACAACAGAGAGAAAAGGAAAGGCAAGCAAACAACAGAGAGATGTGGAGAGAGGGAAAGGAAAGCAAACAACAGGGAGATGTGGAGAGAGGGAAAGGAAAGCAAACAACAGGGAGATGTGGAGAAAAGGAAAGGCAAGCAAACAACAAAGAGATGTGGAGAGAGAGAAAGGCCAGCAAACAACAGAGAGAAAAGGAAAGGCAAGCAAACAACAGAGAGATGTGGAGAGAGGGAAAGGAAAGCAAACAACAGGGAGATGTGGAGAAAAGGAAAGGCAAGCAAACAACAAAGAGATGTGGAGAGAGAGAAAGGCCAGCAAACAACAGAGAGAGAAAAGGAAAGGCAAACAAACAACAGAGAGATGTGGAGAGAGGGAAAGGAAAGCAAACAACAGGGAGATGTGGAGAAAAAGAAAGGCAAGCAAACAACAAAGAGATGTGGAGAGAGAGAAAAAGGCCAGCAAACAACAGAGAGAAAAAGGAAAGGCAAACAAACAACAGAGAGATGAGAGGGAAAGGAAAGCAAACAACATGGAGATGTGGAGAGAGAGAAAGGCCAGCAAACAACAGAGAGAAAAGGAAAGGCAAGCAAACAACAGGGAGATGTGGAGAAAAGGAAAGGCAAGCAAACAACAGAGAGATGTGGAGAGAGGGAAAGGAAAGCAAACAACAGGGAGATGTGGAGAAAAGGAAAGGCAAGCAAACAACAAAGAGATGTGGAGAGAGAGAAAGGCCAGCAAACAACAGAGAGAAAAGGAAAGGCAAGCAAACAACAGAGAGATGTGGAGAGAGGGAAAGGAAAGCAAACAACATGGAGATGTGGAGAGAGAGAAAGGCCAGCAAACAACAGAGAGAAAAGGAAAGGCAAGCAAACAACAGAGATGTGGAGAAAAGGAAAGGCAAGCAGACAACAGGGAGATGTGGAGAAAAAGAAAGGCAAGCAGACAACAGAGATGTGGAGAAAAGGAAAGGCAAACAAACAACAGAGAGATGCGGTGAGAGGGATTCTCATATTTTTTTGGGTTTACTCTCCTTTCTCTAACCATATGACAAGTCCAAATAATGTGAAAGATTTTTGTACTCATCAAGTAACAAGAACCTGCCTGCTTGCCTCAAAAATTAACAATCTATCAACATCCCCCTCTTTTACTTGGGCTTGAAGTACCACCTCGAAAAACCTACCTTATTCTTTTCAATTCAGTTTATAGAGTAGCTGTAACATAAAATCTTATGAACTTCAAAAGATTATTATCAATGTAGCAAACCTAAGTGCATAAAATACACTTAGGATCACTTCAAGATTTTATCCACCTCCAGTCATTTGAACAGGATCCATTTACACGGATCAATGATTAAAAATAGCTTCAAGCGGAGGAATCCTCTATGTCTTAAAAGGTGATAACCCTTCATCTGCATTCATAAACTTTACCAAACAACAAATATCACTTCCAAGAGTTCCAACAGCAGCAACAACTAAAATGTAACTAGAACAGAAAATAATGATATAATCAGAATACTGACTTTCCACACTACCATAAACAAAAGGTTAGGAAGGAAACTCCCATCATTACTAGAAAGAGTAATAACACTGGACTTGAGAAGCCTATTTTCCTGAAAACTATTTTAAGGGAAGGATTTTTATTAATTTTGACCAATGGTAATTCAAACTGTTCAGTCAATGAATACCGAAGGCTTCCTTATAAGGAACTAGCAGTATAACCTATCTTTGACCAGACATTTCATTACTGCAAATTTTTGCTGTTCAGTTGGAGCAGTTTAAGTTTAAAGTCAGCCCACTCAAAAATCAATTGGATGCAACTGAGGTACATCTCCAAATTGGGAGGGGGAGCGAAAATTTGAATGGGGGAGTCCTGAAACGGGCCGTTTTTGCATTCTCAATCTTGCAAGGAAGGAACCTCTTCCATGGACTGTCATAATAATAATAATATACAATAATTTTTATTTATAATAAAATTTTTTTTATAATTCTAATAATCTTTTGTTAGATATCAACTCTCTAAATTGATTGTAAAAAAACAAAAAAAAACAGCATACAAACATTAAATTTTGCCTTTGATTTTGGGGTAAAAAATTAGTTTTTTCAATTTTTCACCTTCAAGGTTGTAATTTTTTCCAGCCAATTTTTCCAGCCAGCCAGCACTGAAGAATTATCTATCAAACAAATAAATTTCATCGAAATTGGATGAAAACTGTGGAAACACATAAACATGCACTCACACACCCATTTTGAGAATTATAGATATAATAAAGATCGGCTAATATCACCATTACCATTGCAAGTGATTTTTACTATAAAAATGCATTGCGAATGATCTTGCTATAAAAATTGAAAATGATGTTACTTTAAAAAAATACTTTGGAAATGATTTTTACTATGAAAATGAATTTGGAAATGATTTTGCCATAAAAATTTATTGAAAATATTCAGCATTCATTGACCGAATGGCTAATCTCACCATTACTTCCCCCTACTCTTATTTTAAATTCTGGCAATGAAATATCCTCTTCTTTAAAACAATCAAAAGAGGAGAAATTCTTTATTTACAGAGATATTACTTATCTAAATACATACCATATTTCCCATAAGACAGTGGTAAGAGACACACCCTATAATTAGCTAAAGTATTTTTTGGAAAAAAATATTTGAGGATTTAATAGCTTACTGTACTAGCAAGTCTATGTCACTGACTCTACACTATCATTATCATATTTTGAACCTATTATTAAATATTTGTGGTTATTATTTATTAGATTTTCAATAGTTTAACACAATGACGTATTCACATCAGAAACAACTTGTACTTGTCACCACAAGCCACCAAGTGTCTCACCACACAGTGTGTTTACATCCAATTCCCAGGCATCTTTTGCAGAATCCAGGTTTTACTCTTATACCAAAGTTGTTCTGTTTCTTAAAAAAGTAGCACCAAGACAAGGATCCAGTAAACTCATTAGCCGGTGATTTTCTAAGCACAGCTTAGATGTGGTACAAGGTCAAAAGCATGAAGCACCCAGTGAGGATTGAACTCACTACACAGTTGTAATTGATCTATCAAGACAAACCTGCTAATCATTGCACCACGTTGAAGTTCCCCAAATCTCATTAAATGGTATATTATTCTCAGTTGGCAGTCTTCTTGACTCATACATTATCATCTTTGCTGAGATGGTATATCTCATACATCATTTTTTATCCAAGATTTTTTTTTAAATTTCCTCTAGTTGTGGAAACTTTTGCTAAAATGGTGGCACCATGAAGAATCATCATTAGTGTTCATTTATTTCCGGTAAATAGCAATTTCTTATAAACATTACAAGCCTACTGCTAGTGTATTTACATGGAAAATGCTCAGACAAAATACAATCCTTAGTTCCACCAGTTCTAACCTTCATGTCCAAGACCTGCCATGCCACACACATTGTATCGAACCACCCTCATTCCATTCATAATCCATTTGTGAGATGTAAGTTCCACTCAAGCAGTTTCTTCCCACAAAACACTGCTTTGTGGAACCAACTTCTATTTTTGACACATATCCTCATAAACTGTCCTTCTTATTCTGTAACCCTCTACCTTGAGTGGCTCTTGGGCTTTTTTTTTTAATAACTCCTCTCAGAAATTCAGATACAAAAAGTTTTTGCCTTTATTGATTAACTCAGAATTGAATGAGTACAGGTCAATTGTAAGCAAAGCACTTGATGATCATCATTGTAAAAAAAACAAAACAAAAAAAATTAAGATGTTTAATATTTTAGGTTTTTTTTTTTAATTTATTTTTGCAAAGTTTTAAATTAGTCAAATTTTAATATATATATTATCAATAAGAATATTTTTTAGGGTTTTTTTTGTTTTGTTTTTTTTTTAATTTAAAAAATTTTTTTTAAATCTGAAAAATCAACTTCTCTTGAAGTTCTTGAAATTCTTTTCAGTCAAACTACAACTCTGGAAAAAAAAAAAATGGAACTTACAAATTTTTCATTATGCTGGTAAACAGAAGCAGCACACTTACCTGGAAAACAAAAAATAAAAAACAGGTTGAATATAATTTTAAGGAAAAATTAAAACTTTTTTTTCTTTTTTTTTAGTGAATATACATAGCCTAGTTGATAAAAGTACTGATAGAATTTATATTATTTCCTGAAATCTGTAAATTCAATCTGGATCAAGTAGTTCAGAAACAGATACCCCACACTCAGAGGCAGGGTAGCATCATAAAGAAAATAAATAACATTGACTAAAATTCTTTAGCTTAGATGGTTGATTTTGTTTAGCAGCATATCAACCTCTATGGGTTATTTAATGCCAAAATCTAAATATATTTTGAACACAATTTTATGGCTTCAACTAATATATTTTATCCACCGGGCCATGTGGATAAAAGCATTGGTTGGATCCAGTGACTTGACCCAAAGAGTTGTGAGTTCAATATCTGGCTACTGCAGTGGTGAACAAAAACTTAGAGAGTTGAGTTAAATGTAGATAACTGAGACATCTGGAATTGGCATGGCACGTGGAACAAGAACGCTACCTCGGTGAATTAAATAAAGGGTTCAGTTCAAAATTCCAATCACCTGAAGAAGGCCGGGGCATACAATGGCCAAAACATCGTGAATATGGCAACAAAGATGAGTACAACAGTCCAAACAATATAAATAGTTTAAATAATTACAATACCTCATCTCAAAAATATAGACAGATAGAGTTTAGTACTGCTCTGTTATCAATTGCCATATTTTCACAAGTCTAAGTCTGCAGCTATTTAGCCCAGGGATTGAACTCACAATTATTGTCACCAAAATTATACACCAACATTTTAATCCACTAGATTAGTGTCCTGTGGGTCACTCTGGACTTCTTCAGGTGCTTTTCCATCTTGAAGACTTTAGGGACTTTCAAACTGAACACTTTATTTCATTTATGGAAGTAGACTGTTTTCATTTTACTGTCCATGTCTAGGGATATCTTGTTGTGCCCTGTTGTCTTTTTAGTGCTGCTCAGTTAGTGCTCACCCTGTTTCTACCAAGTTTACAGCTGCACTACCCAGCCCAGGGATTGAACTCATAATTACTAGGTTACCAAATTCATGAATACACTATTCTATAATAACAAAGATGAAGATATTAGTCCAAATATAAATAAAATTAATTTGATTAATTTTTGTTTTTTAAGCATATCTCAATACATTGAGACTAGAAATGAAAGTTAAGATTTTTTTTAAAATAAAAATGAGAATTTTACAAGGTGGTAAGTGTTGTAAACTATAATTAGTCAAAAGTATTTACTACTATTTCTCTAGCAGTTTCGTCTTCAACGTTAGGATTTGTGGTATTTACCAGGGTGACCATGTCACAACCAGATTTGACACAAGGTTAAAGTTTAAAGTGGGTTTAATGGCCATACTGTGCAAAAATCGCCAATCCCCCTCAGCACTTCCCCTTTTGGAGAGGTCTCAGGTCATGGGCAATAAATCCAGTCCATTCCTGAGGGAAATGTACTGTCTGGAGGGAAAGCTCCCTGGAGCTTGGGTGAGGTTAAGATTTGTTTAGCCTCCAGCTGTATCAACTGCTATTTATAAGTTAGAGATTTGCATATGTATATAACATTAACCCCCCCCCCCAACCACTGCATGTGTTTCTTAGCTGGTTTTTTTTTTTTTTTGCTTTTTTAATCCATTATTCCAAATAAATCAGCAGAGAACTATGCAAAAGAAACCTGAAATTCTTGCAGGTCCAGAAGTACAACAAAGAATATGCCAGAAAAGCAGTAGTAGCTGAAACAGATAACTAATAATGGTGATACCATTGCATTGTCTGTAAGGCAGAAACAGCAAGGTGTAAATGACATTGACATCCAAACTTTGCTTACGGAATGATTCCAAATGATTTTAAGATGGTCTCACAAGCAGACAGAAAAAAAAACAAAAGATTATATAGAGAGCAATTGATTTTTTTTTAATTTTATCCAATACAAGGCTCAAGAGCCACTCCAGG